ATACACAGCACCGATACACTCACACATATTCACTAACCTTACAACAGCCACAACAAAGAAAATGAAGTATCACTATGTCACTAAATCATTCACATTAAACTACTTAAGTTTCGTTTCGCACAAAAAAAAGCTGAGTTCTATATTCCTTATAAGTGCAGTGGTTCAATATCGGCTCCTTTTAAAGACTTCACAAAAGCATATGAAACTAAGAGCTCTATTGTGTGAGCCGGTCCCTTTTACAGCCTGCAGCATGTCACACAACAGAAGTCTAACCTCTGGGAGTAAACTTGGGGCCAAGACAAAGCCACAGCTAACGCTCGAGAACAACCATCGCACTCTCTTCATCCGCACCAGTGAATGGCCTCAAAACACACTGCAGTAGTAAAACAAACAGGTGCTATTAAATGAATGGGGAGGCCCTGGATGTCACATGACCCGCTGTGTGTATATAGAGTACGTATGGATTGAAGCGGCTGTGTGAATGATTGCCGGAGTTGTCCTATTGGCAGGAACTCGGGAGGATCTGGGTGTAATTAAAGAGTCCCAGGGGGGCTCTCAGGTCACCCGTTCGACCATCACCAATAAACATGAGAGAACCGATCAATGCTCCGGCTCCCGTTCCACAATAATAACATGATGTGAGTTCAGGGTCAGTCACCGTGCGATTATTTTGCATTTGACGCGTTTTGCCCGCCGACAAAACCGTGTCCCGTTCGGTTTCCCATGAGCCTTTGCGCTGCAGAAGTAGTCCATCAGATTGACTTTGATTCCTGTCGCGACGGCTCGTCTCATCCATCTCGCGCCGTCTGCCGTTGTCTGAGGCCTGCGTTTAAATGACAGTGATGCATAAAGAGCATTACGCAGACAAAGGGTTTGACAAGGCCTCATTCTGTCTCCCAGTCCAGCGCTAAATACTTTACCCATTAGCCATTTGATGACCTCCAGTGGCTTTGGTTAACACGGCTGAACCTGTCCTGCGATCGTATACTTCACATTTTGTTTAGTTGTAAATGTAATAATAGCAGTGTCAAAAGCAAAATGAGTTATTATATCTATGTATTTTGTATTTGCCCCCAGATATCCCACTCAGTATGTACCGATCATCATATTTGGCCTTTTCTGATCAAATTGTTGCCGCTAGTTTAATCTAAATGACAAAACAAGCTGAGAATCCAATCAGAAAGCAGAATGATCATCACAAATCTCTTAACTGTGTTGCCAGATTGTTCTAAAGGTGCAATCCAGCTGGTTTGGTTTCTGCACATCGCTTTAGCAGATATGTGGATTGTATTTGTAATTACTTAATTTAACCAAGAAACTATGTACTGTCCCTTTAACTTTGCCTCTTCAGAGTAATGGCTGGACTTATAATGAATCAATACATTTTATGCTCTTGAATTAGGAAACAATGTCAATATTTACAGTCAAAAGGTGAATATCTAAATACCTAACCCTAGCACAAAATGCAAAGTACATTTTGGGAAATAATGTTAGTTGGGGTTATGAATGTGCATTTTCTGATCTACACTCCCTTTGTTGCTATGGAGATGCCATTGCTTTGCTTGGATTTGACCCCAGTATGGTATAAAAACCTGTAATAATAGACATTTCCTGCTTAAGAACCTGGATTATCACAGTGAGTCGACTCGCCTCTCCACAGATATGACTTGTAAATTAGTTTTGACTTGAGGGAAATTCCGACCTGCATCTGCAATGGAAGGAGACAAGAGACTCAACGGATCATGAGTATGAGTTACCAGTATGAGTGTGTGTGTGTGTGTGTGTGTGAGTCTGCTGATGTATGAGCAGGCCTTCACTGTGCTTTAATGTCACATGTACGTGGAACATTCCAGGAAGATGAAGTTACCGGTTACAGAAACTTGAGGCAGCTTCTTTTTAAAAATCCAACGACAACAGAACTATAGTAAGAAATTAATCTCTATTTAGCGCTTTTCCCAGATCAGAGTCCCAAAGCGCTTTACAATTGCTGTGGGCACTTGTCTCTGACTCCACTCAGAGATGGGAACAAATTCGCCAAACGCATGCCAGACCTATTGTACACATTTTTCGTGGCACCTGGAGGAAATCTAGGTAGACACAGGGAGAACATGCAAACTCCACACAGAAAGGAGTTCAAAATAAACAATTGGATATGTCTTATTCTTTTCTGATAGACACCATCACCAAACACACTGTCACCTGGATCTTTGCTCCTCTTCATAAAGTCAAGCTCACCCCAGAACCCGGGCTCAGAGGTGTGCGTCTGTGAAGATCCCATTAAAATGCACTACACAAAATGAGATTTGGGAAGAGCCCTGTGAAAAACCATGCGTGTAATCACAGCACTTCCTCTCTCAGTTTATCTGTAGAGGATTTGGAGGAAGATTTTTTTCATTTTTTGGTCCCTCCCCCCCCCCCCCCCCCCCCCCCCCTGCTCCTCAACCTCCCCCATAACTCCAATTAATATTCATAGGACAGATTTGTGCAGTCTGGTGCAGCCTGTAGCACATGCACACACACTTAAACACACTCTTGGCTTATTAAGAATCTAAAATATGGGTTGCCGATTTCGTGCTGGTGGAAGGCAAACAAATTGTGTCAGAGTTTTGGGTTTTGGAATCTATGAAGCTCAATTAGTCTCTCATCAGCGAGAGTTTTAGAGACAAGGTCAAACAACAGGAAGTCATTGACGATGCTGGGGTTTCTGACAAGCGTGTGGTTTAGAAAAGTCTCATTTTTTGTAATTGTTTTCTCTTTTATTTGTTTATTTTATGGCCATACTTACTGTACATGTGAAAACCAGATCCCGTCCGACCTCTGAAGCTGGAGACCTCTGGGAACACCAGATGCCACAGTGGGGCGGATGCGGCTGTAAAGTGCCAAACTGTTGTTGTGTCCTTAGGCAAGACACTTCACCCACATTGCCTAGAATGAGTCTGGTGTGTGTGTGAATGGTTGGTGGTGGTCAGAGGGGCCGATGGCACATGGTGCCTCGCTTCTGTCAGTTTATCACCATCGTGTATGGAGTGAAAGAATTATGCCTAACGCTATTTATAAAACCAATGCATTATTAGATTATGACACAAAACAATGTGTTATTCCTGCATCTTCACATATACAAGTACATATACTGTAGGTGAAACAAAAACATTTTAATGTCATTCAAAAGTCTACTTCTGTAATTCAAATCATACATGACATTCATTACACATAATTTACTGTTTGTTTAGTTACTAAATGTATCTTTTAACTACATCTTCATACCTTGCTTGTGGACTACAGTTGACAGCCAGCTTTGTAGCTTAAAGTAAGAAATATCAAGCCTTTATTTGTTATAAAGTCGATAATCACAGATTGTAAAATCATACATTTTATTCAAAAAAACAAAAGGCTTGGCACATGCAAATATGATTTACAAAAATAAATCCATGTAGGAAGATTTATTTTTAAAAGTTTCACCTGTAAATACAGTATATAAATACATACATATACACATGTTTTAGTTTGTTTTGTTTGTTACCAATGAGCCAGAAATAGAGTGGGATAAAAGCTGCCTTTGCGGAGAGTTGAGATTCGGGACAAAGGCCAATAGAAAACAGGAGATTTATAGATGAGGGCATATCGTGACAGATCATGAAGCGAACATAATAAAGAGAGTCTGTGTATTACATAACGGAGACTCATGATTAGCACTAATTCAATCAATCCTGTTTTTCCTACAAAACACAAATTGTACATAGTGCGTACATTAGAAAGTGGCGTCCGGTGGCGTCTCGCTGATTCTGTGAGTCAGAGCTCTGTGAGCTGAGATGACTCATGGCTTAATGACTCTCTTAAAGACATTACATCTACCTGCACTGGCTGCACATCCCCGAGCAACAAGCGGCTGACGCACACCTCCGTTCCTGTCTGCAGTAATTGTAGCTCTATTAAAACGCACTCAGTCGCTCCACGGTGTGTGTGTGTGAGCGAGAGAGTGTTATGTGAGAGATAGAGTGTGTTGTGCATGTGTGTGTGTATTTTAGACAAGACGACATGTGCCCAGATGTTGCGTTGCCAACTTCCAGCTGTTTCATGTGCAGATTTGAACAAGATTAGATAGATCTATTGTAGAACTAACTTTTATCTATAAACAGCATAAATGTAGATATTAGAATCATAGTCTTTGTCATATTATGTGAAAAATTATTTATAGGTTTTTATTGAAGTAAGTTCGAGTAAGGGTGAAGACATTTAGTTTAAGTAACAGTGATTATACGAGACAGAATAATAAGGCACAAGGAAGTTGATGTAATTTTGAGTGTGGTTTATATTTGGGATGCAACTCAAAAATGCTAACATCTAAAGAGCTTTTCAACAGGTATAAATATTTAAATTAATCAGATTGATTTTATAGTATAAATGAATATAATGGACATATGTGATAATTACAGTATTGTGGGATGCAAAGAGCAGCTCCGAAAGTGTGGTTTTATTCCAGGTTTGAATGGGAATATTCCTGTAGTCTTATCTTATCTCATCTTAAAGCTGGTGTACAAATCTTTCAAACCCCTAAAGTAATCTTGAGAACACTCTAAAAACAGTTTGGTTCCATCTCTATAGTTTTTGCATAAATGTATGTATGTATGGCCTCTGTCTTTAGAACAGCTTTCTCATATCTCATACCTCATATCTTTCAGCCTGAAGCCTCAAATAGTGACTCCCAGGGCTCTTTCTTCAAATTGAAAAGCTAACATGTTTTCTAATGAGATGAAGACGGCATGCTGTGATATGATTTTTCCACAACATTTTATTTCTACAAGATTATTATGCAAAAAAGGTTAGGTACTCCAGCTTTTACAAGACCCCTGTCATTCAGTATGTTATCTAATTAATTAGTTCACATCAGTTCGTGTTGGTTTGATTCATCTTCAGTGTCAAATGTGTGAAAAAAGAAAGAAAGAGAGCATTTTGTCTTTTGCTGCGTGCCACCGAGCTTACATAAGGGGCAGATCTATGCGATGTCCACAACTGCCCTCAGCCTCAGCCTCTGCCTCTGCCTCAGCCTCTGCCTCTGCCTTTGCCTCTGCCTCAGCCTCTGTCTATGCCTCAGCCGCAGCCGCAGCCTCTGCTTCAGCCTCTGCTTTAGCCTCTGCTTCAGCCTCTGCCTCTGCTTCAGCCTCTGCTTCAGCCTCTGCTTTAGCCTCTGCTTCAGCCTCTGCCTCTGCTTCAGCCTCTGCCTCTGCCTCAGCCTCTGCCTCAGCCTCAGCCTCTGCCTCTGCCTCTGCCCCTGCCTCTGCTTCAGCCTCTGCCTCAGCCTCAGCCACAGCCACAGCCTCTGCTTTAGCCTCTGCTTCAGCCTCTGCTTTAGCCTCTGCTTCAGCCTCTGCCTCTGCCTCTGCCTCTGCTTCAGCCTCTGCCTCTGCCTCTGCCTCTGCTTCAGCCTCTGCCTCAGCCTCAGCCACAGCCACAGCCTCTGCTTTAGCCTCTGCTTCAGCCTCAGCCTCAGCCTCAGCCTCTGCCTCTGCCTCAGCCTCTGCATCAGCCTCTACCTCTGCCTCTGCCTCTGCCTCAGCCTCAGCCTCAGCCACAGCCTCTGCTTCAGCCTCTGCCTCTGCCTCTGCCTCTGCTTCAGCCTCTGCCACAGCCTCAGCCTCTGCCTCTGCCTCAGCCTCAGCCTCAGCCACAGCCACAGCCTCTGCTTCAGCCTCTGCTTTAGCCTCTGCTTCAGCCTCTGCTTCAGCCTCTGCTTTAGCCTCTGCTTCAGCCTCTGCTTCAGCCTCTGCTTTAGCCTCTGCTTCAGCCTCAGCCTCAGCCTCAGCCTCTGCCTCAGCCTCTGCCTCTGCCTCTGCTTCAATCTCTGCCTCAGCCTCAGCCTCAGCCACATTCTTTGCTTCAGCCTCTGCTTCAGCCTCTGCTTTAGCCTCTGCTTCAGCCTCAGCCTAAGCCTCAGCCTCTGCCTCAGCCTCTGCCTCTGCCTCTGCCTCTGCTTCAGCCTCTGCCTCAGCCTCAGCCTCAGCCACAGCCTCTGCTTCAGCCTCTGCTTCAGCCTCTGCTTTAGCCTCTGCTTCAGCCTCAGCCTCAGCCTCTGCCACAGCCTCAGCCTCAGCCTCTGCCTCTGCCTCTGCCTCAGCCTCAGCCACAGCCTCTGCCTCAGCCTCAGCCTCAGCCTCAGCCACAGCCTCTGCTTCAGCCTCTGCTTTAGCCTCTGCTTCAGCCTCAGCCTCAGCCTCAGCCACCTCAGCCTCAGCCTCAGCCTCTGCCTCAGCCACAGCCTCAGCCTCTGCCTCAGCCTCAGCCGCAGCCTCTGCTTCAGCCTCAGCCTCAGCCTCTGCCACAGCCTCAGCCTCAGCCTCTGCCTCTGCCTCAGCCTCAGCCACAGCCTCTGCCTCTGCCTCAGCCTCAGCCTCAGCCTCAGCCACAGCCTCTGCTTCAGCCTCTGCTTTAGCCTCTGCTTCAGCCTCAGCCTCAGCCTCAGCCACAGCCTCAGCCTCAGCCTCTGCCTCTGCCTCAGCCTCAGCCGCAGCCTCTGCCTCAGCCTCAGCCGCAGCCTCTGCTTCAGCCTCTGCCTCTGCCTCTGCCTCAGCCTCAGCCTCAGCCTCAGCCTCAGCCTCAGCCTCTGCCCTGTCCTGTTCTGCAGAATCTCCAGTGGGTTCAGACCGTCCAGCGCTGCCTCTGTCTGCGCTGCTTCCTCCCCTCGCACTCCTCTTTCACATGTAAATCAGCCTTTAATCTCCGCTCCTCTAATAGACCGCCATGGCAACGGAGGCAGGCCTAATGAGGCTGAGGCGCAGGTTCAAATCCCCGGCACTTGCACAATCAACAGTTTAAATGCACACGCCCACCGGCTCATGCATGCATACATGAATCCTCATCAAATCATAGGCCAGCGAGACGAGACACTGGTTCATAAATAACAGGAGCGGTGACCTGACAGAAAATCCGCTGAATTAATTATTGAGGTGACAAGAAACAGCGATGTAAAGGGTTCAATGCGGCAAATTGGACTGAATTTGAACGTATGAGTGAGCATGGAATAACTATCTATTAATAATGTTTTGTCTGCCATTCCTGTGGTTAGTTGTGAAATACAAGCCTATTATTAACTTACTTACAGATATATTGATATAGTTAGTGTATTAGTGGCATACTACTGCAACCATGATTAGTAAAGTGTCTGTAAGTTTGAGAGATAGAGATGGAGGCATTCTTTATGTCTATCAAAAACATAAATATACTGTACACACCTCACTGTCAAATATTTACATAGTGACTAAAAGCTGTGATAGAGAGAGACTACAGTATTTAACGACACAACCCATTTGTGATCGACTAAGTTTAAAGGGACTGTACTATTATGCACTTAATAAAGTCAATACAATTACAATCCCACTTTTGTTTCCAGAATCTTCCTGTCTGAGACAAATGTGAGAAATGAATACTGATGCAATCCACCTATTGTTGCATCCGCTTTCATTTAAATACATGTGGTTGTGATATTTTTATTTAGAGGGACATATTTAATTTACAAACCACTTTACACCGTCGCACAGGGTCCGGTGGTCATTCTCACAGTTTGTATTTTGCAAACATGAAATACATGTAATGTAATTTGAATCGCCTTTAACCTATAATTATTCCACATTATTGCTGCCAATGATTAGCCTTTTCCTGTCGTATGAAGGCAGCTTATGCATCACAAAGACGTGCTCAAAAGTTAACTTTGCGGTTTGCGACCACATTTTAGCTCCTGAAATCATAAAGGAGCTCATACTTAGCTTTGGTATGTGTTTGTGTGTGAGTCTACGATGACAGACGGGGTCATGATTGGACCTGCACACTCTTCATGCTTGACTTGGCCACATATAGTGACATTTGTTGAGAAACCGTCCTCACTATTCCCCTGATAGAGGTGAAGAGGAAGTGTCTGGGTTGAAGGTAGTCAGTAAAACCTGCTCAGAGTTCTGCAGACAAATTGGAAACACATAGTTTCCAAAGTGCTTTCCAATAAAGAACTAAAATATAATTGAACAAATTAATAGTAGGACAGTATAATAAAAAAAAACAGTTGCATATATATAGAACAAAATAAAAGACACAGACACACACAACTCAGGCGATGTTAAAAGCCAGTTTTATCACATGTTCTGAATTGTTTTCTAGTTTTGATCTGCATTCCGTCTCAGCTCTTGTGCAATGCAAGTCGTGAATATGGGTTTGATACAGATACATAGTTTTGGCAGCTTTTTGTCGTGAGGTGAGATGAAGAAGGACTCAAAAATGCAGGAATGCAAAAATAATGATTTAATGAAGACGATGAAATTAAAGTCCAGGGAAAAACAAATTAAAAAAAATCAAGGGAACCAAGAAAACAACAGACAATGACAAACAGACAACTAACACAGGGGAACAGGACCGGAAGTCAGAATAAAACCAAGAACAAAAATAAAATAAAATTCCAATTATTACAGATTTGCTACATCCCCTTTTTGCAGACTGACAAGGACTATTTCTAGTCAACAATGTTTTTTTTAATTTTTTTTCAGGTGGATCACAGCCGTCCAACACATTGTCACCGTTCACATATAAGAATTATGAGCCTGAAGATAGAATTTACAGATACATATGGATTAGGTTGCTCGGCCAAACGCACCGACGCACTCAATCAGGCACTCTTCAGTCAGTAACTGAGACGACCTTCACGATGTTGGAAGAAAAAAAGAAAATGTAACTTAAACGCACAGGCTCAGATAATGAATCCCTCAAAATAATTCTATACATCTAGTTCTGAAAGCCTGGGGTTATTTTCTCTCCAGTAATTCCTCCTTAAAAATGCCAAAGCACAATGACCAGAGTCTGAAGTGTCCTACAGTGGCCACTTGGTGAAGACCTGCTGAAAGATGCACAAAAATGAAGACACGCAGTGCAAATGGAGCCTTGAATAGCACTTTAAAGAGCTCTGGAGTGCTCTCATTTCCATCTGAGTGCCACCGTTGCTCACCGCGTCGATGGCAATTTACGACCATATTCAATCCATTAGACTAACATATGTTTTTGAGTCGTTTGAAGCTATAAACACAACCTTCGCACGCTCTTAACGTCTTCAAATTCCCCCGACAAAAACAATAGACATTCTGCAGATTCGCTAAGTTACAATATGTGGATTTTGATATATACTTCCACACCTTTTTATTTATTTACTGATGTCTTTTAGACGGTGAGTCACATACGCCCCGGCTGCGTGTTTACAGTAGCCGCCGTCGGAATGTAAAATAGTCGGTGCACAAAGAGGAGAGGCAGACAGACGCAGAGACGTGAGGAGCGCGTGACATTTTTATTACATGTCAGTTATTTTGAACCGCAGCTGAAAAGCCGACCTGTCGAGGGCGGCACATGTGGCGGTGGCACATGCGACATCACACACTTTGGCAGATTTGTTGTAGCAATAGTGTTCAAAGGGGCCATGAAAAAAGGCTGGGATGTGGGTGAAGAAATAATACAGTTAATTCAATAATAATCTATCGTAGTATTAGCTGCATTTAAAGCATGGAGTAACTTTTTTCCCCCCTCCCTGACAGAAAAAATCATAATTGAATTTTTTTTAATCTTTATTTGTTATTATTATTATTAGTTTTTTTTCTTCTCTAATCTTTTTTTTATTATTGTTTGTATTTTTTTAGATACATTTTATTTATTTATTTTATTATTATTTTTTCTACTCGTTTTTTGTTGATGTGTTTATCTGTTTTCTTGTCTTTAAATAAAAAATAAATAAAACCCACTATCTTTTACATATTGAAAGCTGATCGGCTGATTGAGCCTGGTCCCGTCATGTTTTCGGTTGTTTTGTTTTGTGATTTGTCAACCCCTGTATCTTCTTTAGTTCTACCCCCCGTTGTGTGATGACCTGTGCTCTTGTGTATAACCTGTGTTTTGTTAGTTTTGTGTATCTAAACCCTGTGTAGTATTTCACCCCCTGTTCCATTATAGTCTATACCACCTCTCGTTTTGTTTTTGCCCCCTGTTTGGATCGGTTTTGTATTTTTACTCAGTCTGTAGTCCGGCCTTGTGGGTTCATTTCATTTAGCATATGTGACAGATCCTCGATTTTTTTACTGACTAAGCAGATGGAGGCCAAAAATACATGCATATACAAATAGCGCTAGAACCAAATTGTTTTTTTTGACGGCAAGGAAACAAGTATAGCATGTGTAGATTTTATTACACTACAGTCTGTGGTAAATCAGAGACAGCACGAACATTCGCACAAAGACGTTTATTTGTCTTCCAGAATGAATTAGAGTTACAGAGGTATATACAAATAATTTGGGTCATTATGACGGAGTATGAACAGATACAAATATGACAGATACATTGTACGGAGATAGATAGATACATTATGTAAACATGATGTGGATCAGATGTTGTCCATTTGTCAAGTTGACAAATGGACAACGACCAATGCAGAAAGATTTAAGATCTGACCAGTTTTGTCCAATACTGTTTCTAAGTACTATTTATTTGGGCTATAGTTCACAATAGTGGTTTCAATTTAGGTACTGCAGTTTTAAACAAAATAAAGTGAGAAAGTCAAGACTGGATTAGACAATAATTCAAGCAGAGATGTGTTATTAACCAGGTTGTAAACTATATAATTGATTTAAAAGTATCTGGTTCTTTTGTACCAGACAATAGTAAGTCAAGACAGAAGTATCGTTGCAACATGTCGAGGAAATGAGATCGCTAACTGAATAATGTCTGGTATAGAAGAACCAAATACCTTTCATTATCTAAATCTTGTGTTTCTGTGTTTTTATGTATCCCCACTGCTGCTTCGTCTGCAAAGGAAGTTCCTCACAGATAAATAAAGTTGAATTTTTCTACTAAGAAGACAAGAAAAACCTTCCAAAACTAAAACATATATTTGTTTTTTTGTTTTTTCTGTTTTTCTATGACCTCTTCCGTGGTCGTCTAAACCCCCACCTTGGGAACCACTGCTACTGTTCACCTGTTTTTAGTTGCTGCAGAGATAAGGCTGGGAAAGCGACCTCCTGAACATGTGCAAACCAGAACCACCTGTTCCTGTTCTCGGTGGCTCAGGCTGCACTCTGTCGTGAGCTGAAACATCGCTTCCCGTTCATGTAATGCAGAATGTTGAGAGTAATCCATCCCAGTGAAGGATCCTTATGTCGCACTGCGCTGCTGCTCTGGTCCCGAAGCTCAGAGGCAAACATCCTCCACACCTCATTGGGCGGATAATTGATGGATTCTTTATTATGTACGCGATCATACATTATCATACATGTGTTAAAGCAAAGTCATAATAATAAGAAAATACATTGCTGGGAAATTATTTGCAAAGTAATGAGAGGAGGGACTCTGGATGAAAATAAGCTTGTAGCTATGGCCGCTCTGAACAATACATTTATTGTGCTATGTCTCTGTCAAATAAATAAATAAATACATAATAAAATGAAGAAAACTTATTTAATCCTACCCCCACTCATCTTTGCTAAATTATTTTCCCTTTCTTACATTTCACCATTGCCTTTATTGGTCTGTTGTATATGATAGGGGCACAAATCATACACAAGGCAACTCAAAGTGCTGAACAAAACAAGATAGATACATTAAAAAGAAAGATACTGGAACTGTTTTGAACCTGGATTTAAATTTCTTCTAAAAAATGAAGTGTTTAGTATAGTAAATTAAAGGTATATAGGAGGACTATTGGTCGTCCTACTGTATATACCTGGTCCAAGTGTAAATCATTCTGGTGATACCTGTTCGTCAAATAAGATCAGAGAGTTTTCTTTCCTAAAATTAGGGAAAATCCTCTTACTGTAGATACCTTTAATTAAACTGAACGAAATGGCACATGTGCATAGAGTAGAGGAAGAAGAGACCACAAAATACA